TTATAAGAATGGATCTATTAAAGGCGCATATTGATTATTTTATTATGAGAACAAGATATCGTCGAGAACGTAAAGATTATAAGGTCATTTTATGTAAGAATTAAGTACTGAACATCAAATATTAGTTTTGAATTTTAAGATGGAGAGTTGTAAAATAAAGAATACTAGAAATTTTTGTCATTTAATTAGATGGACGCACCTAAAAGACAAATAAAATTATTTTTATGAATAAACTTCAAGATTTGGGATGTTCATGAACAAGCAAATTTTATGTGGGATAAAATAACAAACACTATCAAATAAGTGACAAAAGATGTACTTGGAGAATCAAAATGAAAATTTATATAAATAAAAATAGATGGTGGTGGAATAATAATGTGCAAGAAAAGATAAAATATAAGAAGTTGCGTTATAAAAATTGGTTTATATATAAAAGCTTAGAGAAATGAGAAAAATATAAAATGACCTGTAGCGGAGAGTCTAACAGAATAATTAGTGACACTAAAAATTCTATTTTTAGTGATTATTTATAATAATATTAGATACTAAAGTGGGTGATATAAGTGTTTTTCTTAGAAGAAGATGTTCAACATAGGTGGGTGAGTTTTTTTTATAAACTTTTCAATGAAGTTTCTGAAAATATGATCGACCTTAGTGATCTTAATATCGTTAATAATAATAAAATATTTTTTTTTTACCGTCGCATTAGTAAAAAAGAAATTGAGAATGTTTTAAAGAAAATTAAGAGTGAAAAGTTTGTAGGACTTGATGGTATCCCAATTGAAGTGTGAAAATATTTAGAAAATTTGTGAGTTTCTTGCCTTGCTAAACTCTTTAATATTATTTTAAAAACTAAAAAGATGTTTGATGAGTGGAGGAAGAGTATTTTGGTTCTCATTTTTAAAAATAAAAGGGATGCACAAAGAGTACTCAAATTGTAGCAAATTATTAAGGAATTAAGTTGATGTGTCATACTTTAAATTTGTGGGAGAGTAATTGATCATAAATTTAGAAGAATATTGGTTAAGACGTTTTACTAAGATTTCTCATAATCAATTTGAATTTATGTCGGATAAGTCTTCTATGGAAGCTATAAATTTATTGAGAGGTTTGATGAAGAAGTATAGAGAGAATAAGGAGGGTGTATTTATGGTTTTTATTGATTTGAAAAAGCTTATGATAAGATTCCAAGAGAGATCGTTTGGAGAGTTCTAGAGAAGAAAGATGTTGATATGACTTATATTCGAGTCATTAAAGATATGTATACTAGAACTGTTACTTGTGTTAGAACGGAATGTGGATTAACCAAATATTTTTCTATTTCAGTTGGGTTACATCAAGGATTTAAGCTAATATCTTTTTGCTTTAGTTATGGATGCTCTTATTGGACATTTACAGGAAGATGTACATTGGTGTATGTGTTTCGCTGATGATGTTCTTCTTGTGGATAAGACTAGAGAAAGAACACAGGAAAAACTTTAATTATGGAGGTCTACTTTAGAGTCTAAAGACATTCATTTGAGTAGAACTAAAACTAAATACATGGAATGTATTTTTAGTAGTAATAGCCCTAGTGACAGATTTGTAACTATGGGTGATCAAATTTTTAAAATTTGTGAACGTTTTAGATATCTGGGGTCTATTGTTCAAAGTGACGGTGATATAGACGGGGATGTTATGAGTAGAATTCAAGTTGGTTGGTTGAAGTGGAAGAGTGCTTTGGGCTTATTGTGTGATAGAAAAGTATTGCTTAGATTGAAAGGAAAATTGAAATGAAAGGAAAATTTTATAAGATGGTGGTAAGACCTGTAATGCTCTTTGGCGCATAATGTTGGCCTTTAAAAGAGAAGCGCAAAACTAAGTTAAGTATTACCAAAAACCAGAATGCTTAGGTGGATGAGTGACTTTACACTTAGAGACATTGCAAAAAGATATATCCATGATAGGGTTGAGGTAACTCCAGTGACGGACAAAATTTGAGAGATTCATTTGGTTGCATTACACGTCGACCATCTGATGATCCCGTCAAAGTGTAGATGTTTTAGATTCGATTTATGTTAGAAAAGGTAGAGGTAGGCCTAGAAAACTTGGACATATTTTATAAAAATGATCTTAGTTTATTAGAATTAAATGAAAATATGACAATATTAAGCAATGGAGAAAAGGGATTCATGTAGCCGACCCCACTTAGTGGGATAAAGGCTTTTGTTGTTGTTGTTGTTGTTGTATGTTTTGATTTGAATTAAAATATATTTGGTTGTGGTAATTGTTTTTAAAAACACTCAAAAACATCTTTTATGTGATATTAGGTGATTTATTTTTTAACAATAAAAAAATATAAATACATAAAAATTATACTAATTAAACATTTTTTTTTAAAAAAAAGAAAAAATAAATACAAACTAATGCTAAGTGGGCCTCCTAAATGATCATGTTTTAAACTTCTTAGATACGTGTGATTTTTTAGGTGTTCAATTTAGTCCCCTAACTTAAATTTGCGCCAATTTCATCTTACCTTCAGTTTTGTTGTAAATACATAGGAATTTGGTGGAATGCATATAAATGTCTCCTAATTTTATTATAAGTTGAATCAGTAACATTTATCATCACATATTTTGCTTATCGATAATAATGTTCAATGTATTTTTTCAATATGCAATAGGCTACAACTTCAGAGTTCAGAGCATATCAAGAACAGGTGCTCAGCAATTGTGCAAAATTTGCTGAGGTATATTTCTCATCTCTAAAATTATACTTGCTTCTAACATATTTTCTGACATTGTCAAGACCAACTTAATTTTATGACTTGGTGATTATTTTATCTTCTTGCAGCGCCTAGTTGAGAAGGGTTATGAACTCGTTTCTGGTGGTACAGATAACCATTTGGTTTTGGTAAATTTGAAAAACAAGGTAACAATGAATTGCATGCAAGCATTATTTCTCTTTATTCAGTGTTTTCATGCAACTGCTTCGGATGGTATGATCCTATTACATTTCAATGTGCACTCAAACCAAATCTTTTGCTGTATTTACAGGGAATTGATGGATCCAGAGTCGAGAAAGTGTTAGAATTGGTTCATATTGCAGCCAACAAAAATACAGTCCCCGGTGACGTGTCGGCCATGGTTCCCGGTGGCATTAGGATGGGTACAATCCTTTTCCATATCATTAATACAATTTTGGTCGAGATATTCTGCTCTAAATTTGATTAAGACGGGTCTCAAAATAGTTGCATTACTTCGAGCTTAGTGCAACAAATAAAAAATCATTAAGGAATTATATTGCACTCGTTTTAAAAGTGAATTCAATAATTTTGAGATGCTAAATAAGGTGCATTTACAAACATACCACCCAATTCCCAAATTATTCGTATCATGTAAAAATATCACCATTTTAATCTTTTTGAAAGTGAGAAGTGTGTGTGTGTGTGTGTCTATATATATATATATATATGTGTGTGTTAGAGATAAATACATGAGAATTATGTATGTAATCCCCTATAAAAAATGACTAGAATATTTGGAGCCAACTTGTGTTTTTCCTAAATAATGCCATTACAATCACTTCCAATAGCCCTCTTGATGAGTATATATTGTGTAACTCAGGAACACCGGCACTGACGTCGAGGGGATTTGCGGAAGAAGACTTTGTTAGAGTTGCAGACTTTTTTGACGCTGCTGTTAAATTATCACTGAAAGCCAAGGCTGAAACAGCAGGTACTCCAAACTCACATCTAATCCTCTTTTAAACTCTTACATTAATATATGAACGAGTGGAGTCATTATATCTATAATTGATTGCTCTTTAATCCACAGCTGGAACAAAGCTCAAGGACTTCATAGCCACTCTTCAGTCAAATGCTGATATCCAATCTGAGATTTCTAAGCTTCGCAGTGAGGTTGAAGATTATGCAAAACAATTCCCGACAATTGGATTCGAGAAAGAGGCAATGAAATATAAACGCTGATGTGTTAGGATCATGTGCTTAATGATTATTTGGTATGTATTACTCTCAAATCCTTTGATTGCATATTTTGATTGTGTAGTATGAGAAATAGCTTATAAGCTGTTCAATAATTACTGCAATTTTATATGTACCTTTTTTTTTATCCCTCGAGGCTTCTGAATTTGTTAAACTCAAAGTATTGTTAGATGGCTTGGTTTGGAATGTAATAATGAGTGTTTAAATTGATCTTCATTTAAATAGTAATGAACATGTACCTTGTGTCATGTCCGGAATCATAGAGTTTGGATCACATCCTTAAAAGTCAGGCAATTAAATAAGTCTCAAAGTGAGTAAGTTCAAATGATACGCTATTAATTGAAGAATATAAATTTAATGTGAAATAAATTAATCTAATACTGATTGCAGAAATTGGTATTGTTGCTTAGTAAGATTAGTAGGAACAGGAATTGGCAGCTCTTGAACAGTAGAAGTATTTGGAGTGCATAAAAATTGAGTGTGCATGTAGAACTTCCAAATATTTAGTTGAAAATGGGGCTGACATAAAAATAAGTATTTGCAAACACTTAAAATATTGTGAGTTTTCTTTTTTATACATATAAAAATATTGTATGATAACATATCACAAGACAAGCTCTTTAAATAGGTTTCTGTTGTTGTTTTCATTCATAAATTTAATAAATAACGCCCAAAATCTGATACAATATAGAGTGATATGGTTGGGAGTTATCATGATATAAAGGGCTGCTGACAAAATCGTAATTCAGGCCGATTGAGAAGATACTAAACAAACAAATAAATTCAGTATTTTGCCTTATGAAACCCAGACCTCAAAAAAGTTAAATATTTTACAATGTAACATTCTGTGTTCCAGCATGGAATGCAAATGAGTAAAAATGGATTAAAATGTCAAAAGAGGAATATTTGAAGTCCAAAACTAGTGTACTTCAATTTTTAATCAAAATTTAGCCTCCGTGTTGTGCATCTCTATTAGAAGAAAAGCTCAAAGATAAAGAAGCAATTTTACAATACAATATAAACATAACTTCAAAAAAGATGCTAATGTCTTGCACGAGATTCGATTTATTTATTTATTTGACTTTATACAAAAATAGACAAGTAGAAGAGAGAATTCTACCCTACCATTAATCTCAGAACCGGTCTACATCAAAAGCAAATCACTCGCTCAGGAAGTTCACACTTAACACGCCATGAAATAAATACTCAAACAGAAAACCGACATTATTATCTAGCATAAGAAGAAAAACTAAAAAACCAAGTAAAATCCTACAAAATAAGACAACCGAGAAGTTCTGGATTTATTACTCATTGCGTGGTAACACTCTTGGCAAGGTTCCTTGGTTGATCAACATCATATCCTCGCAACACTGTTAGATGGTAAGCCAGCAACTGCAAAGGACAAAAATGCAAAAATTAAATAAGCAGTTTTTTACACGATCTGTCTCCAAATAATATACTTGCGATGCGGCGCCAAAACACTTTCATAGCTAAGTATAGTATGAAATCAATCAAAACATACTGATGTTTGTAACAGGAAGTGGTAGAATACAAGAATTCGGCCCCTGGATTGTCCATCGTTCATGACAATAAATTGGTATAAACAAAAATATGAATATTTAGGTATTATATATGTAAATACATAGGAATTGTGTAGCATGGATGAAGCCATTTTCTTAAGGCTTTCATTTTAATTGATACCCGACTGAACTATCATCAAAGAAAGACATAACAGGACTTGTCACTATCATTATAGACATAAAGCGTCGGATTTAAAAAGCCAGACATTGTTTAAATAGAAGCTCGAGTTACCTGCAGTGGAATTATATTAATTACTGGTTGGAGGCAATCAGCAACCAAAGGAACTTCAATTAAGCGACAAGAACCGCCAGAACATACAGATGCGGCGTCTCCCTTGGAACACATTACTATGAGACGGCCTTTGCGGGCATAAAGTTGTTGAATTACTGATTGCTGTTGGCTGTTAAAGAGCCAAAATTAAAGTATGATCAGTATTTAAATAACTCAATTATGGATACTTAGTTTATTTTTACAAACACTCAACTGAACATGTTCTATTAAAGCAAAAATCATAAACAAAACAAATAAAGATTGAAAAAAAAATCGAAAGCAATACTTGAAACAAAACTTTGCTAACTTGAAACAAACAGACCTGAAACATGCATCTCGAGTGGCAATAACTATAATTGGAAGAGTTTCGTCCACAAGCGCCAAAGGCCCATGTTTCATTTCACCAGCCAGCAGGCCTTCACTGTGCATGAGTGCCACTTCTTTTACCTTCAAAGCACCCTCAAGAGCAGTAGCATAATTATAACCTCTTCCAAACACAAGTAGTGACTGCATTTCCATCAGTGACTTGGCAAGCTCTTTCATTTCTTCATCAAGCCTTAGAACCTCTCTAACCTTGTCTGCATTATACATAAATAAATAAATACAAGGTATTCTAATTTATCCAATTTGCTGAATTCTCTAAATTATGAAAAACAAAAAATGTACTTTTATATACACAGTAGGATGGCATACCTGGTAGATCAGACAGACTATTTATAATGGATTCTCTTCTAGGCTGTGTGGATATACTGTCAGCTCCAATAGCCAGAGCCATAATGGCCATCACAACAATTTGACTGGTGTATGCCTGATGAAGTTCACAACAAACGTTTGTTATATAGAGCTCCATTTTTATTAGAAGCAGAAAAGAAGGTGTATTCGTGTTTACTTTCGTGCTAGCAACACCGATCTCGCAGCCAGCATTTATGTGGACCCCACAGTGTGTTTTCCTCGCCAGCGTACTGCCAACAGTATTCGTTATGCCGACGCACAGTGCCCCATTTGATAGGGCATACTCGAGCGCAAGAAGAGTATCGGCAGTCTCTCCAGATTGACTAACAAATACTGCAGTGTCCTCTCGGTAAATTCGGCCTTTACGGTCCAGCAAATCACTGGCCAGCTCCATTGTGACAGGGATTCCTTAAATTTAGAAAATTTCTTAAACCATCAGTAAACAACATTTAAGCTTAGGGGGCATTTACATACATAGCACACAATTTAAACGTATTTCATATTTACACACATAACCTCAAATCTTTAATATCACATAAAAAATCGCATTTTTGCTACTTTTAAAAGTGAAATAAACCTTTTCATGCATAACTTTAAAGCTCCAAAATGCCGTGTATGTAAATAAGAAAGTTTTGGTGTGAGATATGTAAATACATAAGAACTGTGAGACAGGTATGTAAATTTCCCAAAAAAATACTGAAATAAATAAAGGAACAGATTACACTAACCTGAGAGTTCTTCCAGAAAGGGTCTTGCAGCCAAAGCTGCATTATAGCTGGTACCACAACCAACGAATATAATCCTCCGGCTATGCCTGATTGTCTTGAGGTGATCCTTGAGACCTCCCAAAACAACGCTTTTATCCCTAAGTCTTCCCCTCATTGTGGTGGTTAAAGAATGGGGTTGCTCGTGAATCTCTTTTTGCATGAAATGATCATAATTTCCTTTTTTTATTTGTTCAACCTCCATCTCAAGAACAGATAATGCACGCTGCACGGATGCTGGCTTTTCCTTGCTGTGGTCAAACTTCAGGATTGAGACACTTCCATCCTGATATTATCAAGAATAAAGTAAATGGAGTCAATATTCAAGAAAATTAAACAAAAATCTAAATGAAAGCATAACGAGCCAAATGAAAATAAATTAGCAATCAGTAATTAAGTTTACATCCTCATGGCAGAATTTTCAAAAGAAAGTCTGACAAGTAAGGCAAGGCTATAACAGGCAAGGAGAAAGAAAAATAAAATTAGTTAAGTGAACCATAAAAATTAACTAAGCCATATAATTAGTTAAAATAGGTCAAAGATAGATGCAAAAGTCATGAAGTCTAACAGTTAAATAGATATTAGACCGAATTTATAATCAATAACTAATATAAAAAACAAAAACTTTGATAGAAAATTTTGCGAACATTCAAAAGAAGTGATATAATGAAAAGGGCTCAATGAAAAAAGCAACAGCTCAGCAGGGACATACCTAGTAGCTAGTAATATTACTCTATTAATTAATAAAAAAAATTAATAAGATTATTAACGTTACCTTAAGATGCACCACCTCATTATCCTCAATAGCCAAATAGTTTTTGGTGTGTTCCACAATTGCACACAAGTCACTAGAGAAAAATAGCTCCTTGGGCTGACCATCAGCTGTGAGGGATTTAACATCACCAAAGGATGCCGCATAGTTCTTTTCACCAGTTAGACTCTGTAGAAATTTATCACATAGGGTATCAAACTAAAGTAATTTGACGTGAATAAGATATTAGATCGTTGTCAAATTAATAAATGTTGCAAGCAAAAGTCCTGTATTATATGGAACTAAAGAAGCAACAATTAAAAATGCTTTAAAAACTGCAAGATATTTAAGAAAATTCCGGCAAGCATGCCAGAACTGGTCAAAGATAGTTTTACCAAGGTTAGCGCTACAATCCAATATCTAGTTGAGCTTTTAACACGTAAAAAAAAAAACTCCACTAAAAAACTAAAATCCTTGATAAAAAACTTTTAACTTCCATTGAAGGCAAACTGTCAAGATAAACTCCTACAATCCATCATCAGTTTTGGAAATTACACCAACAACACCTGCAGCACCCATCCTTTATCCCACTAAGTGGTACATGAATCCTTTTTTCAAATTTGGAAATTAAGAGAGAGAAAATCCTTCTCTACAGCATCCATTCATGTCCGTAGAACTTCTTCTGGATACTTTTTGTTACAATTTACATGCAGTTAACCACCAACAAGAACTTTCATGTTCAGCTCATTAAAAGGTTTTTAAATTGATCATGGCCATGTACCGAAACCTCAATTCAATATTTTTTACCAATATTCCTATGATAAAAATAAACCACTTGTTAATTTTCTTTTCAACAGTGATTACTAATGAGAAATAAAAAATAATGCTTAAAAACGTATTAAATGTTGTTAAAACAAAAGAAAAAGTGTAACACCAAACGTTCATTTCAATAAACTATATATTTCTCCTTGACATTGTGACCTTGTTTTCAGCATCAAAATAACTATGATGTGACAAAATGTGCATCGATCTGTGAGCACAATAGCTGATAACCTTAACGAATCAATATTTAATGCTGTTGCTTTCTACTTACATGCATATTTCCAATAAGCATTGGAATCTCACGCAAAAAATTTTATTTTACTGCATTTTCATAATAATTTTAGAAAGGAAGCATCGCTATTGATACAGTAAGGCTCAAGATAGTTAAATGTTTAGTTAGCCAGAACCTCACAAATCACAATAAGGTAGCTTGAAACTTGGTTCTCGTCACCAGATCATGGTAGGAAAACTAGTGTTACTACCTTATTATTACCCAGCCTTTTTTTGGCTCTAAAATATTTATCAAATTGGTTTTGATCAATTGAACAAGGCATATTAACAGAAAAATTTTAACGGGCATTTCAAATGTCTGGTCAAAAAAAGAACAATGATCAGAACCATATTATTAGATGCACATTTAATAAATTTCATGTCCTAAAATAGAACTCCATAAGTGAGCAGTGCTATAGAATCAAATTAACTAACTTTAGTGCTCCTCTGCTCCTCTTTATCAATATTCATGATGCGAGCTTATAAGCAATCCAATACTACGACATTGTGTATTATATCATATCCTTACAAGGGTGAATTTTCCTTTTAAATCTAATATGGAGACTAATTCCCAATCAAAGGGTAGCCTCACATATATCTTCCTTCAAGAATTTTTTTTTTCCCTTAAACTAGTCTCTTTTTTAAAAAAACTGAACGCTTAACTAGACAACTTTCAATTCAATGTGAATAAATAATGTGCTTTTTTATGGTATCAGATTTAGACGTTGACCCACAAAAACAATACATGTAAAACTAAACTAGACATGGTCTGAATAAATAGTCATACCGAACAATTCCAGTACCTATAATTCATGTTTTATACAACGACAAAAAAAAAATTGAAAGTCAGTACAAATTCTAATGCTTTGCTTCACAAGAAAGGCATTATTATAAGGCTGGAATCAAACAAGGTAAAATCTGCCATATTCCAATTTCCACTCATTTATTGCGCGAGTAAATAAATTTAATCACATGAAATAGACAAAGGCAGCTTGGAGAAACTGGGCGACTGGGAAGAAAATTGTTCGGTAGGTGTAATAAATGGCTAGGTTAGAAAGAGAATTAGCATGACATGGCTACATTATCCTCTACCCAATTCCTGTGTACCAACTTAAACTTGTGATGGTTAATCATGGTATAAGAGGTAGTAAACTTTTATCACCATGATTGGGAGCTTTGGCATCATGTTTTTCTAGCTGCGTTTTTTAAACTTAGTTAAGGCTTTATCACACCAGAATTTACTTCATGAGCATGGTTTAGGGGATGTTTGATTCACTGAAATGTTAGGTTTCATTTTTTCTTAATAGCACATGCTGCTTATTTGGTCTACTGATAACAAAAGAAAGCAACAATCCAGACCAAATTCAGTGACTCCTGGATATAAGATATCTTTAAGGACTCAATAAATTAAATAAAAAAAAAGTGCCCTAAATAGCACAATTTAGATTGATAATATCAATGAACAAGACAAACAACGATGTATAGCTATGACCAATATTCAAATAATACTGACAACCAAACAATATTCGTTTGATTCATTGATGCTACTTGACATCCATGAATAACGCAAATTAAAAAAATGGCAATTCTTCATAATGATCAAGATAAGCCAAAATCACATCAAGTGAAGCTCCTATTGAGGATAAAGAATAAAATAGTTCTAATACTATGAAACATATCATTTCTCAAAAAATATATCTAATTTTGTACTTGACTAAGCTTAAACCAAAATTACCAATTCCATTGACAAGTCAAGTTAGATCATTGAAGTCTGATGCAAAACAAAGCCTGAGATAAGAGCAGATTAGACCAAAACAACTCTAAATAACTTAAACTATATATGCAACTATATACAACAATGGATATTCAGAAAGCTCTAAAGCTTTTGAATCAAAATATTTTATAAATGCAACTGCATATAACAGATTGCAAAAAAAGATAAATTTCTTAAACAGCAACAAGCAATCCAGTTAAAATCTGCTTCGGTGCAAACTAAGCCTGAGATAAGAGAGGATTAGACAAACCAACTCTAAGAAATTTTGACTATATTTGCATCAGTATACATAGATGTATTTGCTGAAACAACTAAAGATGTTGGATCTGAATATTCACAAAAGGAGGTTGGCGTTCTATAAAAGTTACTACAACAGCAATAGTATGTAAAAAACTGATAAATTTCAAAAACAAGGGCAAGCAATCCGTTTAAAATCTGCTTCATTTAAGGCATTCTTAAATTAATGCAAGCTGACAAAAATAAATTCAAAATGAATCGAGCAAGAAGTTCACTAGTTCTTCCTGGGGAACATCCCATCTTGACTTCTGCAGTTTTTCAGACTAATAACTATTCTCCAGCTCACTAATATTGAAATGTTCCCAAAGCTTACATTTGTATTAAGCATAATAAAATTGTCAGCATAAACCACATGACTATGATGATGAAGAACTACTTCCAGTCTTCTCATTTGATTAAATTGAGACTGTAAGTTACTAATAGAGCATATTTAGATTGACAAGGGTTGCTTAATGAGCGAGGAATCTTACATAACAACTGGCTAAACTAATAGTAAATTAAGAAGGCGCATTTGTATTGTCTTTCTCAAGCTCTTGCTTTAAAAAAAATCAGAACGATGAGTCATCTGATTTTAATGGATTTTTAATGGATTTTGTTTCTTGTAGGTCACCTCTGAACCCTCTGACTCTACTTCTTGAAGATGCTTACGCAGTTAAATAATTAAGACATCTGGTTTTTCCTTGTAATTGACATTTGGAAGCACAAATTCCTTAGGCAATATAAAATTAAAAATAAAATCGGTATATTAGCAGAAAATAGAGATCTAAACAATATGTCAGCTTGTAGCAAAATCGGAAAAAACAAGCATTATTGTTACCATAACAGAGAATTAGTGATATAATCAAAGGAGAATATTAAAGCTAATATGTCAGATCACTTAAGTTTCTTTGATAATTGAAGATTTGCACGTTCACTATTTCTCAACCATGACATTGAAGCATACCTTCACACCAAGAATTAAGGGGCTACCATGACTGCATGCAATTAGCTCATTTGGGTAGTGCGAACTTTTAAATATAAGGGCATATGCACCTTCAAGCTGTCTGATAACTTCTATGACAACTTGGCTGAAAGTGACAGCCTGATCTCCTACAACACATAAATAAGCAGGATACGTCAGCACATTAAAAACATGGTAGCACATAAGACGTGCATGATAACTTAGCAAATCAAAAGAGTTATCCCTTCAGATAATCAGATAATTTTGCTCAGGTGGATCAAAGAATTCAAAAACGTCAGCATTTAAAAGAGACAAATTTGGAAAATAAATGCCAACTACCTTCACTGGCTTGATCGAAAACAAATTTGGCTAGCTTAGGTATAACTTCAGTATCAGTATCTGATTCAAAGGTAAAACCATGTCGAATTAATGTCTCCTTCAAAACCTACCAAAAAAAAAAAAAAAAAACCAGCAGCAGGGCCATCATCATTCATTCGGGCAATAAGCTTTCCTTGTGGATTGAATGATATAGAGCCAAAAAATTACAAACATTAACTAGTAGACAAACCTCATAATTTGTTATAATGCCATTATGGACAACCAAGAACTCATCCCCTGATCCCGATGATTGTGGATGGCTGTTCCTGGGAGAAGGTATGCCATGAGTGGCCCATCTTGTGTGGGCAATCCCGGCATGAACCATAAATGACTTCTCTAAGTCTAATCCCAAAGTATCCACGTCTAAAAAAGCAAAATAATAACAATAAATAAATAAATAAAAATTAAAAATATCATTTCATAAAGCATCTCTCAGAAGGCCCATGCTGATAATCATGAATAAGAATATATAAGCACTTTAAGGATTAGAAAAAAAAAAAATATCTTGTCTTAGAGTTATCCAACCGAGCCTTCAAGCACCTCGTGAAAAGAGTGACTCAAGGTGTTACTCTCTAATGCATAATAAACAATACAATAAAGATTTTTGTACACAATATTTTCTACTATCAATGTCATACCCTCTTCGTATGCAAGACTGATTATTAGCCAAACTATAGTTTACCTTTTAACTAAGCTACCTTGGCCTAGCAATTGAGAGTTTTTTCTTTCAACCAAAAGGTCTTGGGTTTAAGGCCTTGCATAAGCGATGTGTGTTCTTTTGCATGTGTGGGGAAAAAAATGAAAAAAACCTATAGTTCAAAATCTTTTTACACTTCTGCTAACGCAAGGACTTGGGCTGACTCCTACCAATAAATTTCGAAAAAAAAGAAAACCATAGCATCCTATTGAAGATGGTACAAAAAAAGAACCTCAAGTTAAAAAAAATAAAAAATAAAAAACAAAATAAATCTTGAGATCCCAAAGGTTGAAGGCCCCTAAAATAAGGAAGGCCTCAACCATCTAGTCTAATAATAGCCACATGAGAACTAGATAAATTAGGGCCCTTAAATAAATAAAACCCTGGTTTATACTCTAGCTTACCACAAATGCACTAAAATGCCATGGACAAAAAAAAAGATGTTAAATAACAAAAACTGAATACTTATGATTACCATATGAGCATCCTTCTCTTTAACTATGATATGTGCCTTTTCTCATGGTTTGTGCGATTATGCATGTAAACTTCTCCTGATTGTTTGCTTGAGAAGAATGCTCTCTCACCATTAACCTAAAGTTGTTGCACCTCGAATACCTTCGTATCTAAGGTTGGTCCATCAAATTTAAATTAATTTCATATAGATCATTTATCTTCATTAACCTTTAAAGTTTCTCTATTTTCAAAATAATTCACTAAATTCTTTTTTGTTATGATTCATTTTTTAGGTCAATTAACTTTTTCTTCCCTCCTCATCTGCTATTTTCACAATCACCACACAAAAATGATGGTCATCATCAACAATTAAATGTCTTCCCTATGCAATCACTACCCTTTATCTACAACAAACATTAAATAGAAATACAAAATAAGGACACCTGGAACTTCGGGTTGATAAGCCTTTGAGGAAACAATAAAATGATGATATTAGCCCCACTAAATGATGGTAATCTAAATAGAAGATATTAATTTATATCTTTTAGAATAGAAAATTTAATGTTTGTATTGAACTAAAGGATCTATATAAGAATTAATAAAACTTAATAAATTTATTGATAAATTAATACAATGCTTGATATAATGGTTACCTTCCTCATGAAGCAAGCTAGATGCATTTTACTTTATTTTTTGACATGAAACCATTGTCTAAGATATTTTAAAACCTTCTCCATTAAACACAATTTGTGAAGATTTATTTTTCTTTTTGATTTTCTTAAATTGACACACTTCTCTATTTAGTACCATTTTGTCAGATCCATGAAACATGTTTGAAAACTCTACAGCTCATGCTAAAATTAAGTTTTCTATTATTCATAAGATATGAAGTTTCATAAAAATAGCCATGTTGGTTGATCTGTTTGTACACATCTATCTGGTAGAGGTTATTATTAGTATTTATTTTATTTATGGGGATTATTTTATGGTTTAATCTTACCGATCTATTAGGCTTAAAGAGTCTTCAGCCATAGTTTTGAACCTGTTTATAATTCAAGCAAATAGCAGTTTATTTTAGATATTAATTCTACAAATCTCAATTATATTTCAGTGTTTCAGAATGAAAGAAATAAAAGACTAGTTATGTCTGGTGGTTACAAATATGGAAGCACATTCATGCACAGTATTTTTACTTTGCATATCACATTTTATCTACGTATTTATAGTCTACTTCTATAACATGACAAATCAGTATCTACTTAAACATTCATCAAAACTTATTCTTTCCTCCAAATTGTTGGGATAAGCAAAGTGATGGTAATGGTAATCAACACTTCTGTTTTCAATCAAGTGTTTTTATCTATAGAAGTTAGAGCGGGCATTGTACAATATAAAAATTATAAAAACATGAAAAATCTCAGCCCAGTGATATTCCTATCAATCTACGCCTTCAGGTATTCGACAATTTTTTTGGCACTAACTGCTAAGTGTTTAATCCATATAGCTATAGCAATTGTCATGCAAGCATCTAATCTCTCTAATTTCGTAGCCCGATTCTTTCGCACACAACATAATACAACGCAAAATAAGGCCCTTAGGCTCTCCAGGCCATAATGTAACCATTAAATAGATCGCAAAGAGCAAGTCCAACTCTATCTTGTAATTAGTACAGTTCCACAATGCATTCCAAATAATCCACCAAAATCATCAACAAGTTCATCACCAGAGAATTTCCAAATTTTGGGAAAGAAAAAACAGTTCTCACACATGAAATCAAACCAAAATAGTAGAAATAATTCGCATAGCAGCTAAAACAGCTCATCAGATCTTAAGGATGCTCACCGGAGTAAACAGATCTGACAAGCGACTCGATCTTGCCCTCCCGCCGGAAAACGAGCGGCAACGCCGATGCGTTGGGCCGCTGGCCCTCCCCGGCCGCAAAGGAACTATCGTTGTCGATCGCGATTCCCGACGAGTCATACCCGCGGTATTCGAGCCGCCTCAGCCCGTTGAACAAGACCTCCAAGATGTATCGCCTCTCCCTCGCCACATTGTAGTTCAGGTACGCAAAGATCCCGCACATCTTTCTCCCCCCTCTTTATCGGCAAAACTATGTACCACTCTGCATCAAGAGAAAGGGGTATTTATATACCGGGAAGCGAGGAAGGGATGAGAAAGGGAAGCGAATGAGGGCGGTTTCGTGGTCAAAGCTAGGAAGAAGTGAGGAAAACGGACTCTGAATTATCTATCTTTTGCCATTGATGCGTCCACCGATGTCAATCCAGCCGTTGAATTCAACTTACTAGACGCGGCGGTGCCTAAGGCGATTAACCCTTGCCTGCGGAGCGGAGAATCGGACCATACCATTCAGAATCGCGCCGGGAAGAGCGAAGAGGAAGAATGGCGCGAACAGGCTTCCCTTCTCCGATGGTTTCTTGTAGGAGCGGAGCGGAAGGATGAGAAATATGGTGGTTTCGGTGGTCTCTGTAATCCGCGATCCCTTCGTTACCTTTTCAGCCAGCTCTAATGCCGACTGTATCGCGAAGCTTTGGTTGTGAACGAAACCGAGAGGGCGAAGGGGAGGGAAAATATTGCATTGGGTTAGATCTGTGTTATAGCCTTTAATCTTGCTCTAACCTAATTATAAATTATCTGTAATTTATAAATAAATTGGGCTTATGTAATTTTGATAATTACAAATAAGTTACAGAAATGTTTTATAAAGATATAATGTCGGTATAACTTGATTGTATCTTCTGAATAACCTCCGCAAATATCTTTGGAGGGGAGGGGGAGGGTCATAACGTGCAGTCATCCTTCATATATTATGTTAATAATTCTTTAAAATTGCCAAATAGTTTGTCCAAATTTATCTATATTTACTTAATAATATGCCCAATAATTTTTATGATTTAGCTGCTTCAGAATTTAATAAATACAAATTTACAAAATTTATCAGATTTTATTTAAATTAAATCTTAGTTAGTAACTAAAAAAAGCCCATAGTGTAAGGGAGCAGCGTGTCACTCACTTGTTGGAAGCCATTTTTATCTATTACAGATGTTTTTATTATTTTGCATGATTGGAGATTTATATGCTGTATTGAGATAAAACTTTTATTTTCTATTTTATTTATTTTTTTGTTTTATTTATGTTTTTTTTTATTTCTTTGGTTTGTTTTTAAAATACTAAAAATATAAAAAATATGTTTTTTTTTGTCTGTTTTAGAACCAAAACAACCCTTTGCCTAGCTCGCCTTACACGCCTCAGCCCACTGCCCGCTGTTGGCGACCCCAGGCCGCCACTGCCGCCCACCCGCCCCG